TGGACCAGTCATTCTTTTATCAATCTATCAATTTACCAGAATTTTTTTAATACATTTTTTAAATGTATTCTGGTGGTTTGTCAGAATAAAAGCCCCAATAGCGTCCAGTTGTTTTTATGTTTGTTTTTTTTTTTTCTTTTAAAAAAATTTCACCAGCTGGGTCGGGGACTACAGGTGGAAATTAGCACTTAAGCGCTACGACCTGCTGAAGTGCATCTTTCCTCTTGTGGTTATTGTATATTGTGCATTGTCCCTGTTTTAAATAAATAAATAGTAAAATAAATTCTCAATCTTTTGAAGTGTCAGTGTTTCCATGAATGACTAGATGTCACGTGAAGGGCTTTGGGGCCCCTTCAGAAAATAAGAATACAAGCATTATTGCTGCCATATGGAATAAACAAGGACAACACAGAAGCATTTGGAAAAAGTCTTAAGAACAAACATCAGGCAGTGTATTCCCAAAAATGGATGCAATCATTTCCTAAAGTGATTATACCTGCTATGTGAGGTTTTCTTTTGAGCTAATCCGATTTACTTTAGTTAAATTTGAGTGTGTTCATTCCGAGTCAAGCATGTGCGTCATTAATGGGGGGAAAAAAGCCATCGTCAATGAAGCTTTGATACTATGATTCACCATGGCAATGGGTAAATAAAGACCAGCAGCACCGCAGACTGTGGCATTTATGTACTTTTCCCTAAAAGTAAGGATGCGGAAAAAGGACTTAATTAGTAACAATTTTATTTAAATGTATCTTGGTCTTCTGTTATCAAACGGATCCTCTTTTACATTACATTTACTGTTTGTCACTGCAGATGAACATACATTCTCTGACCAGCTCTGAATTAGGTAGTGATCAACACAATGATTAAAAAGGGAAATGTTTAGGTGTGGAGGGACGACTGCATAATCTAACAGATGCATTTCTTTCCATGAGTCACTGTGTTCCACACAAGGACAATATATAGATTTCATTATGGGCTGAAAATGAATCACCTTACACTGATGACAGATTCATTATAAATGTGGATGTGCTAAAGTCCTTGGATAACAAACCGATTTCTAAGTCTTTCCAGGTCAGCAGTCTCTAATTATATTTTCTGGTACATCACAGATGTTGAATATGGAAGAACCACAGCTTTGGTTCTGTTGGACCTCAGTGCTGCATCTGACACTGCTGACCACGGCATATTATTGAAGTGAATACAGAGTACTTCACTGGTTCAAATCTTATGTAAACAGGGGCGTGCCAATTGGTAAGTTCTCTTCAGAGCAGACACGTGGTGCATCCTAAGGGGCAATCCTGCAGCCGCTACTATTTCATAGCTACATGCTCTCGCTAGCTCAGATTATAACAAGTAAACATATTAGTTAACATACATAACCAGATGATACACACCTCTGCAATGCTTTGTCACCAAGTGACTCCAAACCCACCCAGGCACTGAACAGTTGCTTAGAGCAAAATCAACCGTACCTTTCTCCAGCTGAACAGAAACAAAACTGAAGTTATTATCTTTGGATCTAAAGAGGAACGATGTAGCTTTAGCTTTTACAGCTATCACAAGTGACCAGGCCTGAAATCTAGATGGTGATGGACTCAGACCTGAACCTTCAGAGTCACATAAAGACAGATACAAAGTCGGCCTTTTATCACCTGAAGAACGTTTCTAGGGTTAAAGGACTAATATCCCAGCAAGATCAAGAGAAACTCATCTATGTGCTTATCTCTAGTAAAGCTGATTGCTGCAACAGTGTCTTGACAGGTCAAAAACTTAGACAGCTACAGGTGATTTTGTTGCTTGCCTTCTTAGTAAAACGAGGCAAACAAAGCACATCTCCCCAGCTCAGAAGTCCTTCCACTGGTTTCCTGTAGCTCAGAGAACAGGCTTTAAAATACTCCTGTTAGCTTATAAATCACTGAATGGCTTAGCACCAAAATACATGAAAATTGTGTTTCAAACCACTCAGGTCTTCTGGTTCTAGTCTGCTCTGCATCCCCAGAGTCAGCATGGATAAGCAGCGTTCAGCTTTTATGCTCCACTCAGCTGGAGCAAACTTCCAGAAAACTTCAAAACAACCAAAAATTTTTTTGTTATTTTAACTTAAAACCACCTGTTAAGAGTTGAATTAAAAAACCCCAGAAAAACTGGAACATTGATTAATATATTTGATGATGATTATTCTTGATGATTATCATTCCTTGTTTTGTAACTGATTACTATAATTTTATTATGAAAAGCACTTTCATCTATAAAGAAACTTGGCTTTATTTAATATTCAGATGAATACAGACAGTGATGGATACATACATTTTAGCTCGTTTTTAAAAGGAGCTTTCAGTAATCAACCTCACCGTCAACAACAGCAAGAGTATCTTCAAACTAAAACTGAGCAAATGATTGAAAAAAAGAGAGAAAGAAATTAGCCTCAAGCACTTTGTGTGCAGTTTGACCATAGAATAATATTTTCCTTTGTGGCATAATCTTTGTGTGAGCCATGGTTTATTAAAACACTACATCTAAAAAAAAGAGCCATTATGTTGATTCAATAGTCACACACATTGTTTTTCTCCACATATCGACTTTGAAAATCCTGGCCCTTATTGTCAAAGTATTTCTCTGTGGCTTCTTTATGTTTTTCGATGATTAGGAAAGTCGTTTTCATGGGCTGCATTTATTTTTGTGTTCAGAATAACCATTCTCCAGCAGGAAAAACATTAGAAGCCACTAAAATAATAAAACAAATTTTCTGGATGGCGCATAAAACACTGGATGCAGATCTGATAGAGAGCTATTAGCACATCATTTTCTAAAGTTTTATTAACTATCAAACTTCTGATGAGGATATGCAGTTCACAGTAAAGCAAAATCACAAAGTTTCATATCCAAGGCAGAGTGAACAATCTTTGAAGTTAAAATTGGGAGAGGATGAAGAGTAAAAGGCAGGAATTTTTCAATATTTCACTGAAACAGTGACAAACTTTTTAAACTGCAGATCTAAACCATTCAGTGAGTCAAATATTAATAAAAGCCACAAGAATATTTCTTTCTGATTTACACAAAACATTAATTTCTTAAGCAAGAATAGTGCATCTTTTAAAACACCTTCAGTAAGACGTACTAAGCGAACAAACAATAGAAATATTAGTAAACTACTACAATTTACTTTTGATGCATTAAAGAATTCAGTTCCAATGATGACTGATGGACACAGTAAATAATTAATCAGTGTGTGTGGCAATATGTATAATTGCAAATTCAATGTTTGTCAATTCAATAATGACTAGTGCCGTTTCAGACATGTATTGTGGGCGCAACAACTGCAGAGCTTCAAGCGCAGTGAAGTCATAGCAACCAGAAGAATGATGCAGAGAACAGCAAGGCTCAACATGCAGGAGGCAAATCCCATTAAATACATGGCTGAATATTACTTAGGAGCCAGATCTGCCTTCACAACCTTGTACTTTTTAGGTGTTTAGACTTGAAATTACCTTCCTTGTGTGGTATTACTGGATTCAGCCAGGACCAGCATTCAACAGTTTGCATTAAGGGTTCACTTTCTGCAAGTACAGAGGAGGGAAAAAATCCTCTAGCACTATTGTGTGGATGGACCGCGTAGGCAGATAGGGTCTTTTACTCAGGCTCCCAATAATATTGGTTAATTGCTAGATTTCTTTAGCCTCTCTCAACTTGCATCACGAGTAGGCGTGGAGGAGTTTACAACGGGGATATATTGCTGCTGACTGAATACAGAGTTCTCATTCTCTCTCTTTCTCTCTCTCTCTTAATTGTCATTCCCCTGCTCATAGGCACATTTCTCCAGCAGATTCCCTTGAGAGAGGTTTCCCCAGAATCTACGTAAAAGGATTCCTTCCCACGCCATGGTCTTAGGAACATCTCATTTTCATCCACCCGCGCCTCGCTCATGCACACACACACTCCCTCTCACCCTGCCACTGTGTCCTCGTGTCTCCCTCCTCGCTCACGCTTATGTTTTCTGTCTTTTTTCTTCCTCTCCCTTCACTTTCTCAACACCCATCGCACCCCCCCTCCCTCTTCCCCATAACTTATAGATCCTCCGTGGGAGGCAGCATCTCCCTCACACAACAGGCGTGGGCCCTCCTCTGACAAATGACATGCCGGGCCCACCAGCTATGCGTGGGGGGAGAAAAGCTTTAAGTTAAGAAGGAACGATGGATTTGATTGGATGCTGCAACTCAGGGGCTGTATCTTGGCAAGCTGTATTGGACTGGTCTCAGCGAAGAAGTGAGAAATGGACAGAAAGCTGCAATGCTGCTGTTTATCAAGCCAACAGTATGTTTTGAGGAGAAAAAAAATACCATAAAACCTAACACTTCTGAAAACTGTCAAGCTTTCAACTGTGACAATAAAAACTAGTGGTAAATTTTAGACTTGTGATACATAAACATTGTCTAGACCAGTGGTTCCCAATTTTTTTCTCCTGGGCCCCCCAAGTGGTTTCCAAACATTTTCTGTCCCACCCCCCAATGCCCTATGCTGTCTGGTTGAAAGACGTGTGTGTGTGCGGGGGGGAAAGAAGAGGATTCTTAGAGACTCCCTGTCTAACTTTTTTTGGGGGGCAAAATAAATGTACGTAGCTAGACATAGACAACAACATCAGGAGCCTACAGGCTACTTGTTAACAAGCTTAAGGTTGATATTAAGCTAGTCATCTTTTAGCTAACTTTACCTGCATCCAACAGCTTTACTCAACTCAGTCAGTTAGTTTGGGGGAAAAACTGTGAAAGGTTCTTTGCGTTTTGCTGGTTTGCTGCCATGATTCTAACACACACCTGCGTAGCTCCGCCCAGCAGCAGCAGGTCTCCTTCACTGCCGCACCGTTGTAAACCCAGCGCAGCGTCGTAGCGCTCATGTTGCGTTTAAAGGGGCACGCCCCACAGTTTGGGAACCTCTGGTCTTGACGGTGTGTGATTTTAAGTTTCAACATGTGTCCAGGTATAGTCAAGCAAATCACTTACGAGTGCTCTTTGGCCAGCTGCTGGGCCAGAGAAATAGCTGCAGGGTCCCGGTCTAAGGCCAGGACAGTGACTTCAGGAACCGTGTTCAGTATTGCTTTGGTATGACCACCACCTCCAAATGTCATGTCCAGGACCACCTACATGCGAGAAAGAGAGAAAACAACACATTCTTCTCACAACGGGGCTCCTTATACACGATTCATCATCGTCATCACGATGGTAGTTTATCACTTAAGTGTTTCTTTGTCAGTGGTTCACTGTCAAGACATTTTATTCTGTCTCATTTCGAGCAACATGATTTCGACATAACTGAGTTTGAACAGACATTCACAAATTAAACTATCAAAGTATAGTTTAGTGTGCAAATGAAAGCATGTAAAGCTCATATTTCAAATTAAGGTTGAATACATTCCTTAAATCCACCCAGAGCAAGAGGTTTTAACAATACGCTTCAATGAGTTATTTTTGTGTCTATGTTTAGTCTTACCCTTTATATTTTGTAAAGTTTTTGACAAGTATAAAAATTACTGTGGTAACAAACATGACAAGGCCAGTGTTTGTTTAATCGTTCTTGAAATTGGTTATAATCTCCAGCAAGTTCTGGGAAATGTCAGAGACGTCGGCATGGTTTTCCAACTGATTTGCAGGCCGAGTTAGCCATTAGTCTTCTTAAGAAACCAAATGACCCACAACAAAATTACTTTGGTTCAAAGTTAAAAAAAAAAAAAAAATGCTCTATGGCAGGGGTCTTCAAATCCAGGCCTCAAGGGCCGATGTCTTGCAACTTTTAGGTGCGTCCCCAGTCTAGCACACTTGAATCAAATGTCTGAATTACATCTTCAGTATGCAGTCAAGTCCTGCTAATGACCTCATTATTTGACTCAAGTGCGTAGAAAGCAGAAACGCATCTAAAAGTTGCAGGACACTGACCATGGATTTGAAGATCCCTGGCCTATGGAATCAGCTAGAACTGGACACATTCATAAGACTCAATCAAAATAAAAGCAGACAATTAAATCATTGTCTTTGGACACATTAAACAAACACTGGCCTTGTTATCCTGTTTAGTGTTTGTGTACTATATCATGTCTAAATGGTATCGGCACACTTAATCATCTGTAACGAATGTAAATTACCCAAAAGTAGTGATGTGCATTTCAAAAACAGATCTGACTTGAATTCGCAAGTACATTTTCAAAAATCCCCAATGTATAACCCACTAGTGCACTGGAAATCACTCTCTCTGATGGAACAGAAGCTATGACTACACACAGGTACACTTTGCATGTAATAGGCTGTAATACCTCATAGGAATTAATATCACATTTTTCTTGCGAATAATATCATTGGACATTTCACTGTTGTTTATGTCCACACCTTGATCTGGATGCTGCTAATGCTAAACCTCAAGAAGAATGGTGCAGAAATGATCATGATTTGCAGAAATCGTCAGAAAGCAGTGCGGAAACTATGGGTTCATTCCAATCAATACATGGCAAGGCAGGCTGGCAGCTAAGGCTCTGGAGAAGGATTGCCTCCTTGTTGGCAAAGTCATTATCACATTTCCGCTGGCTTGCTGTAGCGTCCAAATGTTACAGCCAGCAGCTGGCTGAACAACAAAGTTCATGTAAATTGGATGGAAATAAATGCAGACTAATCCTGAAAGACGATATGTTAGAAGCTGCCAAGACTAGGGTAGAGGTTCACCATTTAACAGAACAGCTACCCTAAAGATTCAGTCAGGAAAACAATAAAAAGGGTTAGACTAGGCCAGTGGTTCCCAAACTTTTTCTTCTGCGCCCCCCTATGGATTACAAATGGCTGTCTGGTTGAATCGACTTTTTGGGGGGCAAAATGAATGTACGTAGCTGAAAATAGACACCAACATCGGTAGCCTACACGGTACTTGTTCAGCTTAAGGTTCTGTATTGATATTAGCTAGTCATCTTTTAGCTAACATTAGCTAGTCATCTTTTAGCTAACATTACCTGCATCCAGCAGCTTTACTCAACTCAGTCGGTTAGTTTGGAGGGAAAAACTGTGAAAAGTTCTTTGCGTTTTGCTGGTTTGCTGCCGTGATTCTAACATAAACCTACGTAGCTCCGCACAGCAGCAGCAGGTCTCCTTCACAGGTGTAAACCCAGCGCAAGCGTCGTACCGCTCATGTTGCGTTTAAAGGCGGCTCGGAAAAACAGGTTACACCATGTTCACAACGGATTAAACAGTTTTAACTGCTGATAAAAGAGACAGAGGATGCAAATATGGGAAGAGTGGAAGCCTCTACTGTATCAAATTGACATAGGAATATCAGAGTTGGTCATTCTAAGGTAAAAACCCAGCGCATACAGTGTTCATGTTTTGTTTTTGTTTTTTATCCAGACGGCTTCCCGCGCCCCCCCTGCAATGACACGGCGCCCCCACTAGGGGGCACGCCCCACAGTTTGGGAACCTCTGGACTAAGCCATTGATGTGACATAATGGCCTAGTGACATTCCAGACCTGCAGTCCAAATAAAAATTTGTGGCATGATTTAAACATGTGAATATACCTGTGTGGTATTTGGTGCCAGGCTATCACATAATCCCAATAAAAGACATGCTTTAACAAAGTTTGCTGGTTGCTAAACGTGAAAAGATTCAAGGGTTAGCATACTTTTGCAAGACTCCCTTCTCATCCGTGTCTTTCAGAGTGGTTTGTAAAAATAGTTTTTACCCAGTTTTATCCCCAAATGGAAGCTTAAGATCCTCAGCTAACGTCAAATTTGAACACAAGGAACTATGAGCAGCAATCACCAAACAGACACAAAACAACGTCTACGAAAGATTGTTAAGGGAGATTCCAGACATATATATGATGGAATAATTGGAAGCCCTTTGGGGTTCTTGTATTACAGTCCCACTTCCAATGAAGTTGTAACATTGTGTAAAACATAAATAAAAGCAGAAAATCATCAATTGCAAATCAATTTTGACATACATTCAACTGAATTCACTACAAAGTCAAGATATGTATGTATATGTAATTTTCAAATATTTTTTTTTTTTTTTTTGCAAATATTCACTCGTTTGGAATTTGATGCCTGCGACACATTCCATAAATGTTGGGATTGCACTTGACAATCATGGGAATGTTTTTTGTCTTTTTTTGCAAACAAAAAAACTTATCTGCCTTGAAATAAACTATTTCTCTTTGGCATATATATATAAAAAAACAACAAAAAAACAAAGTGTGTGAATAATTAAAATAAACGTAAGGTCCCAATGAGATTTTAAGTAAGATTAAAAAAACAAAATTGTGAAAACGAAGGTTTTTACTTTTATGGTAAGGATTTGAATCTGTACTGCTAATTTTTTTTTTTTACAGTACTCTTTACAAGAAGACAAAGTATGGGAAATTTAATTATTTTATTTTCTACAACATTTTACTTAAGTTTTAGCATTTCGCCCAAACAGAATTCAACTACTTTAGACAAATGTTTCACATAATCCCATAACCTATCACAGTTAAAGTATAAGTGTTACAAATATTACTTTATTAATCTTGCCTCCAGGAGAGAGAGAGAGCAGTAAAATGTGCAATAACTGTCAACCATTATGCAGCATATTTGATGCTAGCTGGTTTCTTATATCTCCTCTGTGCGAAACACAACTGAAATCAGATCTCAGAAATCATTTATTAAATGAAAGAAAATCACTACCTGATCAGCCTGAGATAGAAAATAAATGATCACATTTAAGTTTTTTTCTTCTTCTTCTTCACATGTCCTCTCTGGCAGTTGTTATATTTCGATAAAATGTTAGGAAATAGATGTAAAACGAGACTAAAGGAAATGCCACCTTTTCTACACAAAAAAACATTAAACATGTCGATCGATAGTGACGTGGAAGGTAGGGTGTGTGCGTGCATGTGTGAGGGAAGAAGTGATCAATGGCGGTTCCCTCTCCTTTCCAGCGCGCAGCAGCAGATGGGGAGGGGGTGTGGGCTAGTGGGATGAGTCACACGCATAATGAACTTGCCTGTTGTGCTATTCAATAAAAAAAAGGGAAAAGTAAAACAGAAACACACACAGCAAAGTAGGCTGTTTCTATAATAATAGTTGATACACGTAAACCAGGTGGCAAACTGGCTGTCCTCTGGCGTGAACTGAATCTACCAAGATGATCCTTTGTCACACTGTAGGAAAACTGTGAGCTAAAAGCAATGCAAGCTATTTTATGTCAATTATGCAAATGATGTGAAAATGCTACATAGATTTTTTTTTTTTTTTTTAGAAGTGGTTGCTGGTTATCAGCTGGATAGATTAAAAATAAAACTACACATTTTTACCAGGTTCAAAACTAAATCTCAACTGAAATACCAAAGCATAAAAAGTAAAATCTCCATGTTTAGGTCGTTCAGAAAAGGTTAGTTCCTTTTGTGGAAAACAAGGCTCCTTGAAAAGAAAAGATGTTATAGGGAAGAAGAAAAAAAATCTCCAGGTACTTCTCTTTTTTTTGCCAGATTGACAAAACAACTCATTGAAAAGATTTGGCGATAACAGGTTTGGCATTTGCAAATATGACTGACACCAAACTTGGATATGAGTCATTCACATTGATATTTCATACAGAACGGTGTCTGCGAGGCCCTCACCTAGAATGTGCCTATGCAGAGGGAGCAGCAGGCTTCCACGGTACAATGTGGGTGATTTTGGATGCTCAAATGCACTGATGACAGGAAAAAATTATTTAAAAACAGGTACGTGCTCCTTTCTGTGTTTTGTGGTCTTTGAGAGGTGTGCAATATCTGCCTTTCCCAGCAGAGGGAACAGAAGAGTTAGGAGTAGTCCGAGTTGCGCAGTCCAACAGTGAGGCTGCAAAGTGCTATTATCCAGGACACTTAAGCAGTTATCACTCAGCATTATTAATGGGGGATTTCTTTTGTAAACAAAAACAAAACTACATTAAAGACTCTCATTTGACCTGGTTAATAAATACAAGTCTATAGACGCTTTACTTTTGAGCTTTTTGGAAAAAAAAAAAAAAGTCACGTTTTTACATAAACAAAACACAGCATGTGCAAGAGTATATTATGTCAAGACCATGTGGCAAACAAGACTCTCATCTCGAGCTTACTTGTGGTTGAATTCATTAGGAAA